CAACCTTGTTCGTTCTAGTGAGAGAGACGGAGGTAGAGACCACCCGCTCGTGAGCCGCCCCTGCCCGCCATGTCTCCTGTGCCCTAGCGGCCGCCGGCCGCCGGAATCTCTTCATCGTGTGCTCATCCCAATCAACCCCAGTCTCCAACGACGGTGCTCATCCTCAACGGCTGCTCATCCCCTCCCCAACACCGCGCCCGGTGGCATCCTCGTCTGATCCGGCGGCAACGGCGAGGCCGTGGATTTGGGGGCTTGGTCGGCCTCTTGCTCGCCGACGACCAGCATCTGCTCAACGTGTCCAGGCTCCGGTGTAGTCCGGTCGGTGCCGCCGCTGTTGCTCTGCTCTGAAAGATGCATTGCTTGCAAAGCATCATGACAACTTGATAGAATTGATGGAGAATTGTAAGATATCATCTGGAACTGGTTTACGTCAAGAAACTAACCTTGCTAGACCAGGAGCTACTCGTTGGGGCTCACATCTTAGAACCTTGCTTCGTATCTACACAATGTGGAATGCAGTGGTGGATGTGCTAGCAATTGTGGTGGACGATGCCCGAGAACACTCTTCTCAAGGTGGAGCTTCAGGTTTGATTGTACAAATGGAATGCTTTCAATTTGTGTTCATCATGCTATTCTTGATAAACTTATTGAACATCACAAATATGCTATCACAAACTTTGCAAAGGAAGAATCAAGATGTTGTTGAAGCCCTTCGTTTGATCTTGGATGTGAAAAAAGCTTTGCAAAATATGAGGGACAATGGGTATGAGTCATTATGTGACCAAGCAAATAACTTTTGTGAGGAACATGGCATTGAGGTGCCAAATATGGATGATCTTGTTGGAGCTATGGGGCAATCTGTTCGTTCCAAGAATAAGGTGACTCGACATCATTATTTCAAGGTTAGCATATTCAATGTTGCTATTGATGCAACTCTCACTGAGATGAATCATCGATTCAATGAAGCTAACACCGAGTTAGCGGATTGCATGTCTTGTCTTAATCCGGCAAACAACTTCTCAAAGTTTAACATTGACAAGCTTATACGGCTTGCTGAAATTTATGCTGAGGATTTTACACAAGCTGAACGGTTGTTGCTAAGATATGAGCTTCCAACATTCCTTACAAATATTAGGAGAAGTGAGGAATTTAATGCATGTCCAGATGTTTCTACCCTTGCTCGGTTGATGGTTCAAACAACAAAACATAGAACTTTCCAATTGGTATATTGCCTCATCGAGTTGACATTAATTCTTCCAGTGGCAACTTCATCGGTCGAAAGGATATTTTCAGCAATGAAGATCATCAAAACTGATTTGCGCAATAAGATATCAGGTGATTGGCTTAATGATTTAATGGTTTGCTATTGTGAGAAAAGGATATTCAGAAGTATTCCCGATGATCAAATTATGATACGATTCCAGAAAAAGAAAGATCGAAAAGGACATTTGCCTCCTGAGTATAATGTGATTTCTTAGAGGTATGCCTCTGTTTTTCTACTAGTGCTGATAGTCACTTGCGGATGCCTTACTATATCACTAACAATTGTGCTCATTTTGACAGATGGCTTGTAGTTTGTCTCTTGGATTTTGGTGTGGAGGTGTTCTGCAACTACTAATATGAGCTAAGAAGCAACACGCAACACCAATATCATTGTTTTTGTCTTTTTTTTTGTTGCTTCTCTAGTACTTGATCTATGGGTGTGTGAACTGTATGAACTTTGTCAATCATGCTACTAGTTTATGGGTGTGAACTGTACTTGAGATAAGGGCTATTTTTGCTAAACAGATTCAAGTTTTTGTTCAAAAATTCATGTTTTTCAGAAAATCTGAAAAAAAAATCAGTTAAATAGTACATGTTCCCAGTAGTAATCTGGGAAAGTTTGAGCTTATTTGGACAAATGGATTTGGAGATGATCATATTTTTTTCTTCAGAGTAGCGTTTAGTTTTCTTGGCGTAAACTTTGAGCCCACCCTTCATTTTCTTTCTAGATTCGCCGCTGCTAGTGCCTATGTGATTTCATCTACTTGAGCAATTCAGATAGGTGTCAGTTTGCGTTACAAGATTTGGGTAAATCGGCACGCAAAAGAAAAGATTTTGGTAATCCGACAAGTGTGCTGCCAAATTTTGGAAGGCGTCTTGCTTAGCCACAACCGTTTAGTTCGTTTGTTGCGGGATCAATGGTGAGGCGCAGTGCCTGTCCATGGGCGAGAAAGAACTTGTTTTCTAACAGCGTGCCTGCTTGAATAATCGTAACGGGGTAAACCAGAAAACAAACTGAGCTATTACACGCGAAAACACTGTTTTCCTTGTGATTATTACTATTATATCATCGGATATAAAATTCCGTTTTGGTGTCTTCTTAAAAGGCAAGAACCAAGCTCCCTCTCGAAACAAAAGTTCTGTCATCTCCTCTCGCAAAATGTCTTCCCTCGTAAAAAAAATCCGGAGCATCATAAGCTGTGGTATAAGCCGGGCCCCTGTCCGGTCTGCATCTCCGTCGTCGCTTGAGCCGCGGCGCTCCTATTTCTTCCGGTTCTTCTTCTGCTGCTTGGCTGCAGAGCGAACAGAGTTGCAGAAGACACAAAAGTTATCGAACAGGCATCGTGGAATGGGGAGGAATTAGCGAGGGAGAACGAGGCGGCTTACCCAGCCTCCTCTTGGCGTCGGCCTTGGCGAAGAACTCGGCCCACTCCTCCGTCAGGACGAACACCGGCTCCTCCTCCTCTTCCCACCCTTCTTGCCCGAGGTAAACTTCCTCCCCTCGCTCCGCCTGCGGCGCCGGCTCCTCCGCGTCCCTCGCCGCCTCTCCCTGCGGCCCCGCGAGGGGTCCTTCCGCCGCGGTCGGCGGGTGGGGAGGAGGAAGAGGAACCGATGCGTGGTGGTGGTGGTGGGCACAGGGAGCGGCGGCGGGGAGGAGGTGGGCGGCGTGGTGGCGGAGGTGGATGTGGATGCGGTGGTGGTGGCCGGGGTCGAGGCGGAGGTGGAGCCTGTGGTGGTGGTGGTGGTGTGGAGGGTGCGGCGGATCCATGGCGTCTGCTCTGTTTCTCGAGACTCCTCTCTGTCTGCGACGGCAGCGCGCTACTGTGCCGAGTATATGTAGGGTTTACACTACGGCTTCATCAGAACGTCGGTGCACGCGCGTGCGCTACTCTGTCTGTCGCACTCTTTCGGGGCCTCGCTCTAAAATCACAGAAATTCCAGATGAATTCGAAATTTTCGCCATCAGTTCGCCAGTGACGCAGATGGCCTCAGATGATTGGTTCTGGTTTTGTCAGTCTTTTTTGTGGCTTCAACTTCATAATGTCCACCTGAATTTTTTTTAACAATATGTCTAATTCACATCTAGATGTTTTTTAAGAATGTCACATCTAAACTTCCACAAATATATAATGCCGCAACAAGAAACAAAAAAACTAGGACAAAAAAAATAGACCACAAACAAAATGAACATCAGTTTAGATGTGACATAATTATGTCACATCTAGATGTGTCCTAGACAGGCCCCTTTTTTAATAACATTTTAGGGCATCTTTAAGGCAAACCCTCAAAACACATACAACTGTTCAGATCGAGCTATCCGGTCGCAATTTGTCATCCAACGCGGTACCCACACCCACTCAAATCTCTTCCCCGTTCCATTGTTCATTCACTCCGTTCATGAGTTTCCTTGCTTCGCATATGCACCCCCCTCATCCGCCGCCGCAGATGTACCTCCCCGGCATCTAACCAGGCAGCCTCAGACGTTTGCAGCCCCCACCTTCACGCATACCCGCCTGGACTATGACGTTGTCCACCCAGAATCCGTCCGCAGACAGGCACCCTTCATCCCTCTACTGACGTCGTTCATGAAAGACATCACGCCCGTTCAGTCAAATGTCATTGAGCTTTCTTGTTGTTTCAGAAGTAAAATGACGCCGGGATACTCGGGAAGGATGAGTTGTTTGCGTGCGTGGAAGGTCGTATCTACGGGCTTTGTAGGCATAAGGGAAGGGGACTCGACCTTTTTGGCACAACGTGCATGCTTTGTTTCACGAGAAAAAAAAATCACGCCCTACAACTTGCATGTCATTCATCGGTGGTACACCGTCTTTTAACTCAGTCACGAAGTTTTGTGATGCGATGGCACGAGTGAAAACAATGTGGCCATCGGGCTCGTCAACCATGAAATTCATAAATTTTGCGTCTTGTTGCTCTACATGTCAGCCAATTTATTGATTCACTCCATGTTGCAACTTGACAATCATCAAATTGTATAGGACGCGCTGCCGGTTAACCTGTGATTTACGCTTGTACCCTTGTTGAATGGATCTCAAGGGGCACAATGGAGTTGGATGGAGCTAGGGGCACATAATGCGTGAGATGTGATTCTAACTCGTTGAATTTAGAATCTATGGAAACAAACCTATTGAACATCTCTGTTGTAATATTTGCATTTGAAATATCAAAATTATGCTGTTTTATAATTGTTAAGTGTCGCAGACTTAAAAATGGACATTTAAGGGACAAGGTGGGATGGTCACAAATATACTGGGAGTAGATTCTAATTTCTAAGTATATCTAGTCTAATTCTCCATTGATAGCTGGTTGGCCTATATCAACAAATTTTACTAGCGTGCCTTTGAACTGTGTTATCCGAAAACTGTCTTTTGTTCTTTTCTAACTTTCGGCAGCATAGAAAATACGCCACTGGTAGTCTGGTACCATTACCAAATTTCTAGCGAAGATCTCAATATATTTGAATGTAATGCGAAGAGAATTTATGATCACATTAACGTACGCGATCATTCTCTACAAGTACAGTGCAATATACGGCAAAATGCATGAACTTCCTTGAGACTCATCCGAGCCTCGAAGCAGCATACACAAATTAACTCTTGCACTATCAAGAAACAAACCAAAATCAAAAAGAACATAGAACGACGTAACATTAGGTTCCACATAATCAAGACACTGTCCTAAAAACTTCATTATTTTAAATTTGATAGCCAGTGCTCTTCTTAATAGGACTCACGGTCACCACCATAGCCACCTCCACCACCACCACGGCCGCCGCCGTATCCACCGCCACCACCGTAGCCACCGCCGCCGTAGCCGCCGCCACCACCTCCATAGCCACCGCCGCCACGAGAGAAGCCACCGCCGCCACCACCCGAAGGTCGCTCGTTGGCAAAGTTCACACGGACGTTCCTCCCAGCAAGCTCCTGCAAAGCATTGGATGGAAATTAGATCCTTAAAGGTAGTGGCCAGTGAAGCATGGCATCAATATCAGGCCTAGGCAATTTGGCCAAAGGCAGGCACAAAACTTTGAAATAATAATTAACAAGGCGTAAGTACATGGTGAAAATTATCATACCCTGATAAGCATCTAAATGGCAGAAGTTTAACTCCATATTGAAGTACAACAGCACACATGTCTAAAAATCTGGTTTTGCTCACCTTGCCGTCCATGTTTTCTGCAGCACTCTTTGCATCCTCGCCACTGGCGAAGCTCACAAAACCAAACCCTCTAGACCTTCCAGTCTCCCTGTCAGTGATAACACGTGCTGTAACATGAAAGACAAGCATTATGAAGCGGTAATAATTAATACACCGTACAAGGTAAGCTAAAGAGCATCAGAATAAAAGCACGGTCAAGCAAATTTCCATGTATAGCTAACATTCAGATCTTGAAACAATGACTACACATACAGAACAAACAGCTAACACCGTGTATAAATAACAGATAAAATGACTTTTGGCAATTTGATAAGGGTTGAAAGATATACACTGACCCTCAACGACCTCACCAAAGCTTTGAAACGCCTCCTTCAGCGAATGATCATCAGTAGCCCAGGCAAGACCTGATAAATAAAACTGAGACCTGATGGTCTAGACAAGGTAATGGACACAGTACAAGCAAAGTAAGGCAAGAAAACTCACCGCCAACGAAAAGCTTGGAGCCATCAGCAGGCTGGCCGGCGCACATGAAGCGGGCAGCGTTGAACAGGGCAGGAGCCGAGCCGGTCGAGGCACTGCTCGCCACAGCACTCTGCCTAAGAAGGCTTCCGAGCTTGATGAGGGCCGCCATGAACGAAGACTAAAACCTGCACCGACAGAATAAATCATCAGCAAAGGAGAACGAACCGAAGGGACAAACCGGGTTAAACACAGTAGCAACCAGAGGACAGGGCACAGATTTCTAAACAAAAAAGGAATTTTTACTGGTGCGAACTCCCTAGAAACACGATATACTCCTGCCATAACAGATTAATCCAACAGATCAGACCATCCCGCCTAATTCAGGCTGAGATCCCAAGAACAGCACGGTTCCCCCCCCGAAACTTGCAACCCGTACTCCCATGACGACGGCCCCGAAATAATCGAACGAAACCGAACGAAATCCAACTCGATAGCCCCCCTCTAACGCCTAAACCCACACGAATTAGAGATCAGACAACAGGCAACCGAAACCCTACCCGATCCTCCGCCAATCGATCCATTTTTCAGACTAATAACAACAACCAACAAGCAATCTAGCGGAAGGGGTCGACGGATCAAGGCCAGATCCGCCGCCGCCGCTGCGAGATCAGAGGGGGGAAGAGGGGCGGGACGTACCTCTGGAGGGCGAGCTGGGACGAGACGGCGGGGGAGGGGGGAATGGAGAATGGGGAGTGGGGGCTGGGGGTTTAAGAGGAGAGGGGCGGAGGCGGCTAGGGTTTTGTGGTGCGCTGCGGCCTTCCAAAATATCTCCGGGTCTGGGAGGAAAATATCTGGTGGGCTCGTGGTGGGCTGGACGGTGGTTGGTGGATAGGAATGAGCCAGCCGGTGATCTCGGCCGCTACGGGCATGCCGATTTTGCTTTTAAACTCCTTGGCCTGCTCTCCAAGAAAACATTTCTCCTATTAAGCGTTTTGCATTTTTTTTTAGAACCGTCCTCTAGGCATTTTATTCAATTATGTGACGCTTTACATCGGATTGCACTAAGGCAACCAGAGAATCAGGGATTACATCAAACTGATTAACATCAGAGGCACTCTTAAGGCCCTCCTGAGCACACCAATGAGCAGCCTTATTGGCCTCTCTTCTCACGTAGCTGATGCGCAAACCCTGAAAATTTTGGAGATATGATTTGATTTCGCTGATTACTGGACTCCCCATCGACCAGCATTTTGTCGCCGTCCATTCCTCCGTGACAGTTTGGCAATCCGTTTCGACGGCAACCTGCGTCCAGCCCTTCTCCATAGCTAGATGCACAGCTTCTCTCACTCCTAGGAGTTCAGCAACATACAGGTTAGTCACCCCCCTTAGCTTGCGACTTCTGGCGAGCACGAGACCCCCCTGATCTCTTGCCACAAGTCTAATGGCTGAAGTTCCCCCATTCACATCAACAGCAGCATATGTGTTCACCTTTACCCAGCCGGTCTCTGGTGGTATCCAGTCCACATTCTTCCTCTGCTGCCCTGCAGACGGAGTGGCCGGAATGTACAAAGCATGAATGAGTTCTTGTACTAGAACCATCGACCTACCAGGCTCGTACTTAACCTCCTCATGGGTATACTTATTCCTGCTAGACCATATTGCCCACATAACTCAGATAATGGTGGCGGCTCGGTCCTTGCAGACAAACCCCGGGTCTAGCAAATCCTGTGACCAAGTAGCAGGATGTAGCCGGGGTAGTTTGAAGTCGAAAAAATTCCCAGCTTCCCTCCAAAACAGTTTTGCATGATCGCACATCACCAGAGCGTGGTGAAGTGGTTCCTCTTGGTGACCGCACATTGGGCGGGTGAAATCCTCCCCTATATGCCTCCTACACAGCTCCTCCTTTGCCGGCAAAAATCCCTTGAGGAGTCGCCACCAAAATATCCGAATTTTTGGGTGTACCTTGATCCGCCATAATGCCTTCCAGACGTCCTCGCCTTGGGAAGAATTCCCAACTTGGATCAGTCTTGCTTGTTGTTCTTCCATAAGCATACGGTATGCGGATCGGACCGTGAACATCCCTGATCTTTCATGGCCCCATGTCCAAAAATCAGAGATAGCCATCCCTGTCCTTGGCATATTGAGTATAGCGTTCGCATCCGGGGCAATAAAATTCCTTCTAATTATATCCTCATTACATTCACCATCTTCGTTCATCAGATCCGCTACCAGGTGTATTGGGTCAACCCCCAAGTTACACACTGGTTTAAAGGATGAACTCCCTTGTATCCAGTTATCATGCCACACTTCCATAGTCGTTCCATCCCCGACTCGACGGATCAAACCTTGCTTAAGCACTTCCCTACCGGTGATAATAGCTTTCCACGTAGTAGAAGCGCTCGCCGGGCATCCCGTCTGCAGAAAGTCCCCATCTGGGTAATATCGTCCTTTTAGGACTCGTGCACATAAGCTGTCTGGCTTCTCTATCAAACGCCACGCCTGCTTAGCTAGCATGGCATCATTGAACTTTTCCAAATCACGGAATCCCAAGCCTCCCTTCGATTTGGAGACAACCATTTTCTCCCAAGATTGCCAATGCATTCTTCGTTTGTCCAATGATTCATCCCACCAGAATTTTGACATCACTGCCATAACTTTCTGACATAAGCCTTTAGTGAGCTTGAAACAGCTCATAGAGTAGGCCGGTAGGGCTTGAATCACAGCCTTAAGAAGAACCATCCTTGCCGCAATCGACATCAACTTCTCACAGTAACCTTGTACCCTGGACCTTGCTTGCTCCTTAATATGAACAAAGTTGTTTTCTGTGATCTTTCCCGCTGTTGTAGGCAACCCCAGGTACTTCTCGGTCAAAGCTTCCCTGTGGATTTGTAAATTATTTCTTACCCCTGCTTTGGCCGATGCCCTACAATTCGGGCTGAAGAAAACGGAGCTCTTTGCCTTGTTAACACACTGGCCAGAGCCCAAATTGAAAGCTTGAAGGATTTCATTCAGTCTTTGCGCACTCCTTGAATCTTCCTTCATAAAAAACAAACAGTCATACGCAAAACAAGAGATGCGAGATCCAAGGGGATCTCAACCCAGGTCGGATTCCTCTGTCAATCCAGCCAGCATCATAATTCTTTAGCAAGCATGAGAGCCCTTCCCCGCAAAGTAAAAATAAATACGGAGAAATAGGATCACCTTGCCGTAAACCTTTGGAGGGACGAAATGCTGGCAGAAGCTCTCCATTCACCTTCACTTGGAAAGATACAGAGTTGACACATCTCATCACAAGAGACACCCATTCCTTAGAGAAACCTAGCTGCGACATGATGCCTTGAAGGTAAGCCCATTCAACTCGATCATACGCCTTCATCATGTCCAGTTTAACCGCACACCATCCCTCCTTAGTCCTCTTCCTTTTCATTGCATGAATACATTCATAAGCAGTAATTGCATTGTCAGTGATCAATCGCCCTGGAGCAAAGGTGCTTTGCTCCTCCGCAATGATTTCATCTAAAATCTCCCTCAACCTGTTTGTCAACACTTTAGAGCAAAGTTTGTAAATAACATTACACAGGGAAATAGGTCTATACTGTGAAATATTTCTCGGATTTTTAACCTTTGGAATCAGTACTATTACAGTCTTATTTATCACCTCAGGCATGTGACCGCCGTTTAAGAAATTTAGAACAGCACGCGTCACATCCTCCTTGATAGTCGACCAATGATGCTGATAGAAACCCGCATGAAAACCGTCTACACCAGGTGCCTTTGAGGGTGCCATAGCAAACAACGCCTTTTCAACTTCTTCTGCCAAAAAGGGTCTAGTCAGCCAGTCGTTCATCAAGTCAGTTACCATCACTGGCACATGGTGCAAGACCTCATCGACAATTACTTCCTCCTGAGCTGTATATAGCTGAGTATAAAAGTTCTGCACCTCGGCCTTTACCTCTTCCTTACTATCAATTATCGTGCCATCTGCTTTCTCAAGTACCACAATCTTGTTTATATTTTTTCGCCTTGACGCCTGGGCATGGAAGAACCCCGTGTTTCGGTCTCCCGCCTTCAGCCAGTCTGCCCTCGACCTCGCACGTGCCATGGCTTCCTCCTTCAACAGGAGATCATTTAACTGTCTCGCTAGCTCCTTCTCCCTCCTGGAGGATCCATTATATAGTGAGTTCGCCTTCTCCTGTTCAAACTCCATTTGCACCTTTTTCAACTTTCTCTTTATATCACCAAACTTCTTTTGCTTCCAATCTGTAAGCTGGCCTTGCATGTTATATAGTGAGGAGTTGAGGTCCTCAAGTGTAACAGCCCTAGCATTCTTCTCCCATGCAGCCCTCACAGTAGGCTCATACGTTTCCTCTTGTCGCCATGCTTCCTCGTACATAAAGCGGCGTGGGCCACTTGCCTCCCAATCTACTTCTTTCTTTATTCTAATCACCGACAAGCAGTGATCAGATTGTGGCGTCGAGACATGCCTAACACCAGTTGCATTATACTGCTGGATGAAGGCCGGATCAGCTAAGTAACGGTCCAGCCATACTTTGACATTTGCTGCACCCTCCTGCCGGTTGTCCCACGTATACGGAATTCCAACAAACCCCAAACCCTGGAATTTACACACGTCAATGGTCTCCCTAAAACCATGCATTTGCCATTCAGCTTGTTCATTTGATCCAAAATACTCTGAGTTGTCCGTGATCTCATTAAAATCACCTCCACATAGCCATGGAACATCACTCTGACACCGGAGAAATTCCATTAGTCTCCAACTTTCCTTCCTTTCACTTCTCTTCGCCTTGGTATAGAAGCCTGTAAAACGCCACTCTTTCTGGTCGCTACCCACGTTCCGTACCATAACATCAATATGCTGATTAGACAAATTGTTTAGCTTTACATCCACCTCCCTAGACCATAAAAGGGCAAGTCCGCCGCTCAAACCGACGCTACTGACCGGTATACACCCTTCAAAATCTAACCTTGCATGTAAATCTGCTACTCTGTTCCCCTCAATCTTCGTTTCAGACAAGAAGACCGGGGAGGGCGCTTCCAAGCTCACCAAATGGTGAAGTTCCTGAACTGTCTCCGGGTTCCCAAGCCCGCGACAGTTCCATATTATGCAATTCATTGCTCCTGGCGGGGCTGTGAACCGGCCACCGCCTT